CATGTTCAGTTTAATGTTTAACCAAATATTTGAGCACCCCTAGCCCAGTCAGGTTAAGACATAAAATGAACCACTACCCCATGTCACCTCGACACCCATATACATCTCCTTAAACTATTCTTAATCTCCAAATAAAGACAATAACAGGGTCATAATTTTGCCTAACTTGATACAATTATCCAGTGTACAACTGAAAATGTGTTAACACATTTCCCAGAAGATGAGGTTAATTCTTTGAGTGACGTTTACACTTCTTAATATCCCTAAGTTAACTACTATGATGTAAACATAATAATTAAATATTATGCTATTAATCCAATACATCTTATGTTACATGATAAGGGAATAAGGACAGGAAGGAAACAACAGTATTTGCCCAATAATCACACACACACACAAACATATTTATAACAAAACAAGGAGGAAATATAATGATTACAGTCCTGTTTTTGTTACTGGTAATGTGAATAGCTGGTATTAGTAACTACCTTTTTCTACTACCCATTCTGTATTCCCTTTGCCTTCAGCAAGCACCTCAGCTGGTTGTGGCTTTTTGCCTGGTGGAATGACCCAAACCTTCATTCCTGAAGGATCTGGGCCATTAATAGCCTTTCCTGGTTTGGGTTGTTGTAATTTTCCATTGGTTTTAATAACAGGGCATGGTACTACTAAGAGGTGGCCTCAGGGATCTCCTGTATTCCAGACATACTCTTCCTTACCTCCACTGTGGCAAACCAGTCCTGTCTCCACTTGGTAGTCAACATCACTCACCCCAGCTAGCACAGTAACTCCCTCTTTGCTTGTTGACTCAGAAGCATGAGGAATCCAAAGTGACTGAGCAGCAGTCTTAAAATTTCATTTCAATGGAATAATTGTTGTGTCAGTGGAATAAATGTGAAAGCATTCCTCCCTCTGGAAAAGACTTCGAGGCCAGCAAATCATAAGGTCATGGGAACTGGAAGCAAAAATTTTGCTAGTGGGTCTTTAGGGGTAATAATGAGTGCTGCCACTACCATTCCACCCCTTGATTCCTGGATTTGTGAATCCTACTTGTGGGAGAAACAGCACCATATATTGGTTGTTGATTCACAGGATGTATAAGTGTTCTGGAAAACCTTGCCCCAGCTCTACAAGGTATTGCCACCTAGTTGGCACTGTAACTGGATTTTCAAAAGCCATTCCCACCATTCTGTCAAATCAGCTACTTCATAATGGTGGGAAACATGTTAAGACTAGTGCTTGTGAATTCTTTGAGCATGGACCCAGTGCACCACTTCCTTTGCTATGAAGTGAGGTTTTTTTTATCACAAACAATGCTGTATGGAGTACCATGACAACAGATAAGGCATTTTGTAAGTCCACAGATGGTAGTTTTGGCAGTGACATTGCATGTGGGGACAGCAAATGCATATCCAGAGTAAATGTCTATTCTAGTAAGAACCATACCCTTTCATTTTCGTGATGGGAGTGGTCTAATGTAATCAACCTTTTGCAAGGAAGATGGCGGATCACCCTGGGGAATGGTGCCAGTTTAGAAACTCAGTGTTGATCTTTGCAGCTGACAGATGGGCACTCAGCAGGGGCTGTAACAATGATGGCATTGATTAGTGGAATTCCATGTTACTGGGCCCTGCATATCCTCCATCCCTCCCACCATGACCACTTTGTTCATGAGCCCCATTGAATGATGACAAGGTGATTGGGTGAAAAAAACTGATAGTATCCACTTGATTATTAAAATTCTCCTTTGCTGAGGTTGCCCCTGAGTATTCACACGGGATCCAAATATCCTCACCTTCTTTTTCTCGTTCAGAGAAATCTGTCCACCTACCTCTTCCCCAAATTTCCTTCTCATCAATTTTCTAATCATGTTCCTTACCATTTTTTCAGCCAACCATTGACCATAGCCCATGAATCAGTATATAATTGCAAATCTGACCATTTGCCCTTTCGAATAAAATAAACAACTAGATGCACTGCTAAAAGTTCCCATTGGGAGGATTTTCCTTCACCACTGTCTTTGAGTGATGTTCTAGAAGGGGACTGCAGTGCTCCAGCCTGTTCACTTTTAGGTGGTGCCTGCATATCATGCAGGACCATATGTAAACCAGGGCCTGAGTCTTCTCTTTTTCTGTTAGTTGATCATAGGGAGCTCCCATGAGGTCATAGGAGAAGGGTAGGAGGGAAAGTAAATTCCCCCTCATTCTACCTTTTGTTTTATTCAAGCCTTTTAATTATGATTTTTTTTTTTCTGTTTATGTACATGAGTAAAACTTATGTGTAATTTTACTTTTTTTCACTGTTTTTCTAGTTTTGAAACCCAGGTTATACTAGCCTAAATAAATGAGTTAGGGAGTATATATCTTTTTGTATTCTCTTTAAAAGTTCTATCAAATTAGAATAATCTATTCTTTGCATGTTTGATACAAAATTACAGATGAGGTACGTTTGCTTGGGTTTTTTTTGGGCTTTGATTTTTTACTGCTGATTTAATTTCTTTAAAATTTATAAAACTATTCAGGTTTTTTATTTCTTTTTGAGTCAGCTTTGGGCATTTCTATTTTTTTTTTTTTTAGAAATTTATCCATTTCACCACAGTATCAACATATTTGGCATAACATTGATCATGATATTTTGTTATTACCCATGATGTGATACGGGTAATTTCCTCAGATCTGCTGTTCTGAACCCTAATTACCTTTATAGCTGAATCTAGTCTGGTTAATTTTTTTTCATCCATATTAATTATTGTGGTAAAACATACATAACTTAAAATTTACCACTTACTTATTTTTAACTGTACAATTCCCTGGCATGAAATACATTCAAAATGCTGTGCTATCATCATCACTATTTATTGTTTAGAAGTTCTTATCATCCCAGACAAACTCTCTACACATTAAGCAAAAACTCTCCAATCCCCTTGTGTCCTTTTTTCTATTTCCTGTCTCTATGAATTTTCTTATTACAGGTAACTCATATAGGTGGCAGCATACAATATTTGTCATTTTTGTCTGGCTTTAGTTAGCATACTGTTTTTAAAGTTCATTCATGTAGGAGCATGTATCAGAACTTCTTTCCTTTTTATTGCTGAATAATATTTAGTTATATGCGTATATTTTGTTTATTCATTCGTTAATGGAGATTTGGGTTGTTTCTACCTTTTGACAATTCTGAATAATGTAGCTATGATCATTGGTGTACACATACCTGTTTGAATCCCTGTTTTCAATTTTCATTTCTTTGGAGGTATATACCCATGAGTGGAATTGCCAGGTCAAAAGCTCATTCTGTGTTTGACATTTTCCAGAACCACCCAACTGTTTTTCCACTGTGGCTGTACCATTTTGAATTTTCTCTAGCAATGTACAGTGTTTCCAGTTTCTCTGTGTCCTAGCCAGCACTTTCCATTTTGTTGGCAATAGCCATTCTTCTGAGTTTGAAGTAGCATCTCAATGTGGTTTTGATTCGTATTTGTCTAATGACTGATGATATGAGGATGTTTTCATTTGCTATTGGCTATTTGTATATTTTCATTGGAGACATATCTATTCAAGCCTGTTGAATTTTAAAATTGGCAAATTTTAAAATTTTAAAATTTTAAATTGTTATGTTATAAGAGTTTATAAATATATTCTGGTAATTCATCTGATATATTATTTTCAAATATTTTCCTATTAAGTGGGTTGTCTTTTCACTGTCTTGTCCTTTGATGTATAAAGGTTTGTAATTGTGATGAGTTCCAATTTATTTATTTTTTCTGTTGTTGCCTGTTATTTTGGTGTCCTAGTTAAGAAACCCTTGCCAAATTCAAGGTCATGAAGATTTCCTGGTTTTATTTTAAGAGGTTTATAGTTTTAGCTTTTTTAATTTAGGTCTTTGATCTATTTTGAGTATATTTTTTTATATGGTACAAGGTAAGAATCCACCTTCATTCTTTTGCATGTGGATATCTTGTTTCCCTGCATCAGCTGTTGAAAAGACTGTCCCTTCCAAATTGGTTGTTCCTGGTACCCTTATTGAAAATCAGTTGTACATAATGCAAAGTTTTATTTCTGGGCTCTCTATTCTATTCCATTTGTCTATCCTCATGCCAGCATTACATTTTTTGTTCTTTCACCCATAGCCTCAGGCAAGATCGCCAGAGTGCTTTCACACACAAGTCATCACTGACTTCATATTTGGTTCCTCAAACTGATCTCCTGCCTTGCTTGGGTTCCCAGCATTCTTTGCTATATCTTGAATACAATGCCAGATGAAATCCAGATTATTGGCTACTATGAATAATTAGATGCCTTCAGAATAAATTTTTGCTCCAGGGCTCTGTATCCAGTGGAACTGTATTTTCTCATCTTCTCAGCCTTCTATCTCCTACACTGATGGTTAAAACAAACTTTAAATGTAATTTGTTAATATAGTATTGTGCATTTTCAAACGTCCTTTACCAGGAAGGGATTCTCTGCATATCTGGTCCACCATATGAAAGTTGAGAAAAGTACTTTTAAGTACTTTTAATAATCCATTCTTGACAATCTGTTGTATATAATTAGAAATGATAAATTGTGGCATTTATATAAATTTTTCTAAGCAACTTTTCATTTTAATTACATTACTTGCTTAATTACATTGCATGCTTTTATAATGTTCTAAATAGCTATTAGTATGTTTCTTTATTAGTACTTTGGGTATGGTAACATGATTTTCTAGTGGCCAATATTATGAAGTAGTTGTTAATATTTTCTATTTGAAATAGTAAATGCCCTTAAAAATGACTGCACAGATCAAGAAATAGCATAGCTAACACTGCATTTTCTTTGGAAGTTGTAGCTTGTGTGGGAGAGATGCAATTCTTTGTCCATAGAAAATTGTACATCCACTCTGAATATTTGAGAGAACAAGTTATACTTTATTAACAGATTATGATAATCAATATCTTTCACTTTTTGCCTTTGTTAGTTTTTAATATTGGTATGCTAATTTTTTTTTTTTTTTTTTGGCAGGTTTTCTTTAGGTGATGCTAGGAGGCCTCTACATGAAACAGCAGTTTTGGTAGAAGATGTGGTACACACACAGTTAATTAATCTGGTAAGAGCACATATAATCTTATTTGATGTTTCTCCATTCTGCTTATATTGGGATTGCAACCCAGCACTTGTTTTTAAAGATTGTATTTACATTTGAAATTCTTTATTTTGTCTGCTGGATTGAGGTGTAATTTACATAAAACAAAATTTTACTGCTCTAAGTACATAATTCAGTGAGTTTTGACAACTGAATACTGTCCTATGACTCTGAACACAATCACAGTATAGAACATTTTCATCATCCAAAAAAGTTCTCTTGTGCCCCCGGGTAGTTAGTCCTTTCCCCCCTTCCCTGACCCCCTGGTAACACTGAACTGTTTTCTATCACTGTATTAGTACAGTTTTTCTAAATTGCTTTTCAAAACTTTTCTGTATTTCACTTTAGACTTATAGAAGAACTGCACAAATGGTACATAGAATGCTCAGATACCTTTCATCTTCCTCTGTTAACATCTTATGTAACCACGGTACAATTATCAAAATCAGGAAATAATGTTGGTATAATATTTTTAATGAAATTACCAACCTTATTCAATTTCCATCAGTTTTCTTTTTAATGTTCCTTTCCTGTCCCAGTATCTAGTCTGGGGTAACAATTCATAATTAGCTATCTTGTCTTTGTAGTCGGCCCCTTTCTAGGATAATTCCTCCATCTTTCCTTGTTTCATGGCCTTGACACCTTTTTAAACATACCAGACAGTTGTTTTATAGGACGCTCTTCCTTTTTCAATCTGTCTGATATTTTCTTATGATTAGAACGTGGCTGTGCATTTTTGCCAAGAATACCACAGAAGTAATGAGTCCTTCTCAGTGTGTTGCATCAACATGGTCATGTTCTTGATGTTTTTTTTGTGATTTTAACCTTGATAAATTGATTAAGGTGGTATATACACTGAATTTTTTCACTATAATGAAGTTACAAGTTTCTTCATTTTGTAATAAATATCTTGGGGGAGGTATTTTGTGACTCTGCAAATATTTTCCTTCTCTAAAAATTTGTGCCTATTTATTTTACCATTCATCAGTGGATCTTGTCTGAGACCGTTATGACTGTTGGTATTTGCCTAATGGTGGTGTTCTGTTTTCTGCTTTCCTTTTATATTTTTTAATTGCAATTATTCTTAAAGGATTATCTATCTTTTATCACCATTTATTTATTCAATTTTTAATATATATTTGAATGGACTAATGTATATTTAAATTTTATTCTTAAGATCATTATGCAGTAATATCATTATTTATTTGTATTGCTTAAGCTGTTATAGTGTTGGCCATTAGGAACACTGTCATGTCCTTTTCCCATTTGTCCATCAGGTTTTTGATCCTGTGTCCCATATATATTAGAGATATCAATCCTTTGTAGTATATGATACAAATATATTCTTTCAGTGTGTGAGTTATCTTTTGACTTTGATTTTATGACTTTTTTTAGACATACAAATATTTTAATTTCAACAGAGCCAAATATATCAACCTTTTATTGTCTTAGAATTTTGAAACATATTTAGAAAGTCTTACCTTATGCTGAATTTGAAGAGGAATTCACCCATGTTGCCTTCTGAGACTTGTATGGTTTCCTTTTTAACATTTAGGTCCTTAATCCATTTGTAGCTTATTCTTGTTATCATGTGAGATGTGTATCTAATTTTATCTTTATCCAAATGACTACCCAGTTATACCATCATCATTTATTAAAAAGTCCACACTTTTTCTAATGATCTGAGATGCCTCCTTTATCATATACTAAATAAGCATATTTGGTATTTATTTATGATTTTATATTTATTACCAGTGTCTTATTTTTCTATGCATGTGATAATACATTTTAAATTATATAGGTTTTATGGTGTATTTTAAAGATTATTACAACTAGACTCCTTGTAATTTTTCTTTCTGTGTGTTCCTGGTTATTCTTGTATGTTTATTTTTTTATATGAATGTTAGTATTAGATTCTAGCTCCATAAAATAGCTTTTTGGTGTCTTTATTGAGATTTCATGAATTTATAAATCAGTTTAGAGAGAACTGCATCTTAAGAATGTTGACTCCCATCTAAGAATAGGGAATGTCTTTACCTTTTTTGAAAACCACTTTTGTGTCTTTCATGAGTGTTTTAACATTTTTTTTCTATAGGCTTCACATATTTATTACATTATTCCTATGTATTTGATCTTTGTTACTACTACAAATGGAACATCTGAAACTGAAATACATAAATCTACAGATTCAAGGAGCTGAGCCAACTCCAAGCAGGGTAAACCCAAAGAAATGCATGTTAAACTGCTGAATACAAAAGACATAAATCCTAAAAGCACCCAGATTCATTACCATAAGGAAACAATGACTTGAAAGACAGCAGAATTTTCATTAGAAAACATGGAGACTAGGTCTAAAATGAGCCTCTTGTAGTCAGCATATAGATGGATTGTGTTTTTTTATTCATTCTCATACCCTATATCTTTTGACTGGCACATTTACATTCAGAGTGATTATTGAGAGATACGAATTTAGTGCCATTGTGTTACCTGTTGAGTTGGTATTTCTGGTTTTGTTTCTGACCCTTTCTTGTCTTTGTTGCTTTTTGGTCATTTTGTCTCCACTCACAGTCCCCATTAAAATTTCTTGCAGGGCTGGTTTAGTGGTCATAAACTCCTTTAGTTTATGTTTGGGAAACTCTTTATCTCTCTTTCTATTTTGAATGACAGCCTCGCTGAATAAAGAATTCTTGACTGCATATTTTTCCCAATCAGCACCTTGAATATTTCCTTCCACTCCTGTCTGGCTTGCCAAGTCTCTGTGGACAAATCTTCTGTGAACCTGTCTTCCCCTGTAAGTTAAGGACCTTTATTCCCTTGCTTCATTGGCAAGCGAAGTCAAACTTTCACTATTTGCAGATGACATAATACTCTATGTAGAAAACCTGAAAGACTCCACCAAAAAATTGCTAGAACTCATACATGAATTCAGCAAAGTCACAGGATATAAAATCAAGAAATCTGTTGCATTTCTATATAACAATAAATGAAGTATCAGAAAAAGGAATCAAGGAATTGATTTCATTTGCAGTTGCACCAAAACAATAAGATACCTAGGAATAAATCTAACTAAAGAAGTAAAAGATCTGTACTCTGAAAACTATGGAACACTTAAGAAAGAAATTGAAGAGGACACAAAGAAATGGAAAAGCATTCCATGCTCATGGATTGGAAGAACAAACATTGATAAAATGTGCTACCCAAAGCAATCTACATATTTGCATCAAAATACCACCAGCATTTTTCACAGAGCTAGAACAAACAATCCTAAAATTTGTCTGGAACCACAAAAGACCCCAAATAGTCAAAGCAATTCTAAAAAACAAAAACAAAACTGGAGGCATCACGATTCTGGATTTCAAGCTATACTACAAAGCTATAGTCATCAAGACAGTATGGTACTGGCACAAAAACAGACACACAGATCAATAGACTAGAGTAGACTACCAAGAAATGGACTCACAACTATATGGTCAACTAATCTTCGACAAAGCTGGAAAGAATATCCAATGGAAAAAAGTCTCTTGAACAAATGGTGTTGGGAAAACTGTACAGCAACATGCAGAAGAATGAAACTGGATGACTTTCTTACACCATACACAAAAATAAATTCAAAATGGATTAAAGACCCAAATGTGAGACCGGAAACCATCAAAATCCTAGAGGAGAACACAAGCAGAAACCTCTTTGAACCTCATCCATAGTATCTTCTTATTAGACATGTCACCCCAGGCAAGGGAAACAAAAGCAAAAATGAACTATTGGGACTTCATCAAGATAAAAAGCTTCTGCACAGCAAAGGAAACAATCAACAAAACTAAAAGGCAGCCTACAGAATGGGAGAAGATATTTGCAAATGGCAAAACTGATAAAGGGTTAGTATCCAAAGTCTACCAAGAACTTATCAAACTCAACACCCAAATAAAAACAAATAACCTAGTTAAGAAATGGACAGAAGACATGAATAGGCACTTTTCCAACAATGACATCCAGATGGCTAACAAACACATGAGAAGGTGCTCAACGTCACTCAACATCAGGGAAATACAAATCAAAACCATGATGAAATACCATCTTAACACTTGTCAGGATGGCTAAAAATTAACAACACAAGAAACAACAGGTGTTGGCGAGGATGCAGAGAAAGGGGAACACTCTTGCACTGGGAATGCAAACTTGTCCAGCCACTCTGGAGAATAGCATGCAGGTTCCTCAAAATGTTAAAAATAGAACTACCCTATGATCCAGTAATTGCACTACTAGGTATTTACCCAAAGGATACAAAAATACAGATTCAAAGCGATACATGCACTCTGATGTATTATCAGCATTATCAACAATAGCCGAACTATGGAGAGAGCCCAAATGTCCGTTGACTGATGAATGGATAAAGATGTGGTATACACACACACACACACATACACACAATATGGAATATTACTCAGCCATCAAAAATGGAAATTTTGCCATTTGCAACGACGACATGGATGGAGCTACAATGTTTTACGCTAAGTGAAATAAGTCAGTCAGAGAAAGACACCATATGATCTCTCACCCACATGTGAAATTTAAGAAAGAATCTAGATGAACATATGGGAAGGGGAAAAAGAAAAAAAGGAAAGAGAGAAACAAGCCATAAGAGACTCCGAACGATGGAAACAAACTGAGGGTTGATGGAGGCAGGTGGGTGGCAGATGGGCTAGATGGGTGATGGGTATTAAGGAAGGCACTTGTTATGAAGTGCACTGGGTGTTATATGTAAGTGATGAATCACTGAATTCTACTTCAGAAACCAATACTGTACTGTATGTTAACTACCTGAAATTTAAATTAAAAAAAATAATTTAAAAAAAAAAGACGATATGGAGACTAGAAGGAAATACAAGTTTTAAAGTACTGCGTATAGAATTTTCAGTTGACAGCTATTTTTCTCTAACTCTATATTCACATGGCCTTCTCTCCTTTGT